GCGGCCTCGAGTAGTTGGACTGTTGCGGATTCCTCGGGCTCGTCTCGTCTCTTCCCTCCATCCGCAGCAATCTCGGATCCACATTCCAGCTCTAAGACCCAACGCCTGCTCGTATTCTTCTGGACTCCAGAAGGTACGTTTCGCACGAAACCCTCAGAGCGGTGCCAGAGTCTCCGTTCACCAGATCGAGTCCCACCAAGCGCGTTCTACTGCTCGCAGAGTGCTGTTTCTGGCAAGCGTCAGGAAACAAAGACATACGTTTGTGTCGATGCATTTGGTCGTAAGCCCCCCGCGGTGGATCCAGGCCATTTGCGAGTGCAGTTCCCATGCTTCCTCCTCCTCCTCCTTCTCCTCCCGCACTTGCGGGCCGTCGTTCGTGGTATTTTGTTCGATTCGTGTGGCAGTGCAGCCTTCGCAGGCCGTCTCTTGAGTTTTCGGTGTATCGGCGTATTCCCGATTTGAGGCCCGTCCCTGGTGAAACCTGCTCTTGCCTGCTCAGCCTGCCTGTTTCTGTTGTCAGCTCTCGGCCACGTTCGCGGGACGGTCCTGCGGGGGGCATGCTCTGTCGACGGCGCGCTTGGCGAGGAGACTCTGCGAGTGGTGGAGCGCGCTTACAGTCGGGGCCCTGAAGAAGGAACCCTTTTCGTTGGGGAGGGGCTCCGCGTTCCTTGAGTGTTTCACAGCTTGCCTCAGGCTTTCCTCATGTTTTCGACAGGAAATCGAAGGTTAACTGATGGAAAAAGGGGCCTCGTTCCTTATTTAGGGTTCCTTAGGTCAAGGCCCCGACTCTATCCAGAGACTGCACCCAGACGCGCGCAGGGAAGCCATGGCGGCGGCCGAGGCAGCAGCCGCGGTCCCCGCGGCCCAGGCGGCAGGAGCGGACGGCGCCCCGCCCGTTTCGGGGGCAACGGTACGGGGGGGATCGGCTCGCGGGGGAGACATGGCCTCCACGAGGTCCCCGTCTTCGCATCAGGGATCATACATCTGGGCGGTTCGGTTCGATACGCCTGCAGCAGAGCAAAAAAAACCCTATCCCTGATGCTTCGGGCCCTCCTAACTTGGGTCCCCTCCCAGAGGGTTAGGGGTCCCTTTTGCCTACTCGCCTGCGTCGCCGACGTGGGGCCTGACAGCCCACGCAGCCAAGGACCGTGCGGAAATTTACCGTCGGGGGCCAGTTGGCTGTTCCCCGCCCTCCCGCGAGCTAGCCCCCTGGTCTTGGTTTCGCCCGGGCGCGCCCAGGGGGGAAGCGAGGATCGGGGGCGGAAAGGAGGGGGGTGATGACTAGGGGGGGGTGGATTCATGGCGGGGGCCATGATATCTCCCCAGATCTCATGGCGCCTCTTCTTATTTCATTACGTCCCTGGCCCCCCCGCTGGGCCGCGCACATGCCGCCGGTCATGATTTTTCCCCCTCTTGGACACCCCCTTCTTGGCCGCTCCCGACAGAAGGCGGTGGGGCTTCTCTGAAGTCGGGCCTGTCCCTCTACAGGAGGAATATTCAAAATAATCAAGACTTCGTCAGGGGATGATTTTTCGACTCTTCGTGGCTACTTTGGAATATGCTTGGGATCTTTTTGTCGTTTTTCGCCAAGCATCCGCCTGAAGGAGGACACGCCCGACCTAACCCTTCTCCCTTCGCGCGGCCGCCCTCGTTCTCTTTCCCTCCTCCCGCGCACCGGACAGTCCGCGCCTCGGCTGCCCCGATGCACCCCGCGCTGGTGCGGACTGCCTCTGCCTCGCCGCCGACGGGCAAAGCGTGTCTCCGTGGAAGGCCTGGAAGTCTTCACCCGGAAGGCCTGGAAGTCTTCACCCGGAGGCCAGAGGCCTCTCCCGAGCCTCCCGAGAAGGCCTCCCCCCCCCATGCTCGCGGCCCAGTAGCGGTTCCCTTCTGAGGCCTGCAGGGCCGCCAGGGCTCTGCCTTGCACTGGGCCCTGCCCCCAGCTCTCGAATCCTGCGGCAGCGGAGTGTTGAGCTCAAAGAAGTCGGGTCACAACCGAGGCCTCCGACGGCCCTTCGGGGCGCTCCGGGGGCCCCCCCGGAGCGCCGTCGGCGAGGCGCGGCCGCTGGGGCGCACCCCGAGGCGCTGGGAGTCCGCCGGGCGCCGGCGAGAACTCCCGAAGCCTCAGACGCCTCGGCCAGGGGGCCACGTGCGAACCCTACCCCTGCCCCCCATGATGTCTGAGGGGGAGGGTGGGGTTCACTTCGTTCGGGAGCTCCCGAGCGAAGTGAGCTCCTCCTCCTCCTCCTCCTCCTCCTCCTCCTCTTCCTCCTGCTCCTCCTGCTGCTGCTCCTCCTCCTGCTCCTCCTCCTCCCTCCTTCCCTCCCTCCCTCCCTCCCTCCCTCATTCCCTCTCCCTCCCTCCTTCCTTCCCTCCCTCCTCCCTCCCGCCTCCCTTCTCCCGCCTCCCCCTCAGAATTCGTGGGGGGTAGGGGTAGGGTTCGCATGTGGCCCCCTATCGGCGCTCAGGCCCAGATGGAGGCCTGCTTCCCTTCCCTTCCCTTCCCTTCCCTTCCCTTCCCCCCTCGCCGCCCACCGAGCCACCCCGATCCAGCACGAAGGCCCCGATCTGCCCTCCACTTCTGGTGGAGCCCGTACAACCCGAAATTCGGGCAGAATGCGGTTCTTCGGGTTGGGTTGGGGTGGCTTGGCAGGTATCAGGAGGGACAAAAACATACAGACACAATTAATCGTCGATTCCCCCGAAAACATGGGAAAGCATGGGAAGTGGGGGGAAGACAAACAACCCGAAAATATGGGGAAAATATTTGGAATCCTGTGATTTGTGTGTATTTATTCGTGTGTCCCAGGGCCCCTTCAGGGTGGTCCCCCCCTGAGCCGGTCCCCCTCCCCCTGGCGTTGCCCCTCGCGGCCGGGCCAGCGGAGGCGGCGGCAGGTGCGCCGCCCGGAGGCGCAGCGGCCCAGGCGCGGCGTCGCTTGACCCGTCCCACCCCCAGCGGGCCATGGCTCGCAGGCGGTTCTCGCGACCCCCCGAGCTCCCTACCTTTTTCGGGGATGGACAGACCTCCTACCCTGACACGTCGATTGAGGAATTGGCCGTTTTCGGTTCGCGAGAGGGCGTCGCGGCCGTCACTTTTGCGGGTCAGGTCCGTTGGTCCCATCCCCAGCGGGCCATGGCTCGCAGGCGGTTCTCGCGACCCCCCGAGCTCCCTACCTTTTTTCGACGACGAGTGAGGCCTACGGGGCGTGAGGACGACCACAGCCGCTGCTTTGCCTCTGTTGCCGCCTGCCAGCCAGCAGAAGCAGAGCAGTGGTTGTGGCCATTTTTTCGTTAAGCTTGGCACCAGGGACATGACCGCAACCACTGCTACTTCTTCGGCCGGCTGCAAGGCGGCGCAAACATTACCAGTCCGAAACATGTCCGTATCCCTATGTTTGACATTACCTCACCCCGATGCCGATCTCAAGGATGCCCTCAGTTTCTGAGGGCCTATTGCTCGCCCATCTTCGGGATAGGGATACGTTCGAGGCTGGTCAAGACAAGAAGCAGTGGCTGTGGTCACTTTCCCGTCCCGCAGGGGCCGCCCAGAGACGGGGGGGAGACCCCGGGCTGCACGCCCACGGGGGCCACGCGGACGCCCCCCCACCCGAGGGTGGGCGCCCCCGCTCCCCTGCGGTAGGTTCGGGTCCGGTCGACCAGCGGCGACCCCGTCAGCGGCGTTCCGCGTGGAACGCCGTCGGCGACCCAGGCTCGTTCCATGTGTCAGGGGGGAAAGAAGCACACAGACACAAGTAATCTTCGGTTCCCCAGAAGACATGGGAAACTATGGGAAGTGGGGGAGAAGACAGAGACCCAGAAAATGTGGGAAAATATGGGGAATCATTTTATTTGTGTGTATTTATTTGTGTGTTTGTGGGCCCTTTCATCAACGTTGAACGCGGCGGGCGACCCAGACCCGTTCCATGTGGAACGATTTGGCCGCTTCGGAAACGGCCGATCGTTGAAGGCTGAACGATCCCCGCGGTGTCAGAAGCCGACGCCGAAGTCGGCACGACACGGACCTGACGCACAGTGGGGGCGAGCATCAAGGACCAATGTGCTTCTCCTCAGGGTATCCCGGGCTTTTTCGCTCCTCGCGCCGCGCGGTGGATTCCCGCAGCCGTTGAAGGAGCTGCTGAGTTCAGGGTGCTCCAGGTTTCCCCCCTCAGGTGCACCGTGCGCACGGGCTCTCGGGGTTGGGTTTCTTGCGAGGGTCTCCTGCGGGAGCGCCCGCACCCTTCGGGTGTCGCTAGAAGTGCCCCTGGCCCAAGGTCCCCCCAGGATTTGTAAGGAGGCCCACGCGGCCGCCAGACCACCCCGCACGAGGCCCAGAGGGCCCCAGAGGGGCTCCAGAATGGAGCGAAAGCTAGCAGGGGCACCCCTCGCAGCCCCCGCACCGTGTCGTGCATCCCAGGGCTGGGCCCCGAGCGCGTGGTCCAGCCGAGGGGCCCCCCGAGAGGCCCGGCGTCGGGGTCGGCAGGTCCCCCGGGGCGGACGGCGCCGCGGCCCCGCCGTGCCAGGCCCCGATGTCGGGGACGGGCCCCTCGAGTCTCGGAGGGAGCAGCCCCAGGCTCGAGCCGGGCGCGTCCCTCCTGCAGGGGGGGAAACTCAGAGGCAGTCAAAAAGCATCGTCGGGGGACGATGCTTTGACTGCCTCTGAGTTCTGGAGTGTTTTTTCTGGCTCTTTTTCACTTTTTGGCCAAGGTCCGCCTGCCCGACCTAACCCTAGATTAGATCCCCATCTGAGCGGCAGGAGAAGCGCGCAAGCTCCGACACTGGCGACATTGGCGCGCCAGCTGCCCGCGCCAGATGCCGCGCGTGAGCTGCCCTCCCCTCGCGGCGTGCCGCGCTAGCGGCCCGCGCAAGCCACCGCGGGGGGCGCGGGTACTCTGGCGGATGGGCCTGCTTTCCACCACCACCACCACCATAAGTTGGACGAGGAGGAGGAAGAAGAGGAGGAGGAATAAGAGGAGGAGGAGGAGGAGGAGGGAGGAGGAGGAGGAGGAGGAGGAGGAGGAGGAGGACGAGGATGGGGAAGGAGGAGGAGGAGGAGGAGGAGGAGGAGGAGGAGGAGGAGGAGGAGGAGGAGGACCCCCCCTCCTCCTCCTACTTACGGTGATGGCGGTGGAAAACAGGCCCACCATCCGCCGCCGGGGGCCCCGGCCTCGCCGGCGGGGACGGGGCGGCCAAGCGATGCCGCTCAGAGGCGGGTGCCCAGCCCGCAGCCTCGGTGGCTGCCGCCATTCGCCTGGACAGGGCATCTCATCTGGGATGCGCGCAAAAGGGAGGAGGAGGAGGAGGAGGAGGAGGAGGAGGTGGAGGAGGAGGAGGAGGAGGAGGAGGAGGAGGAGGAGGAATAATATTAAAACTAACAATTATAATACGAAACACGATCATATACATAATACGGGCAACACGAATAATACTAACAATCATACTACGACTACTACTACTACTACTACTACTACTACTACTACTACTACTACTACTACTACTACTACTGCTACTGCTACTACTACTACTACTACGACTACTACTACTACGACTACTACTACTACTACTACTACTACTGCTACGAATAAGCATAATAAGACAGATCACGCGAATCATAATAAGACTAATAATACTAATCAGTCTAGAAGAATATGACTAATAAGAACATAGGAGGAGGAGGAGGAGGAGGAGGAGGAGGAGGAGGAGGAGGAGGAGGAGGAGGAGGAGGAGGGGTGCAGCGCTTATGATGTTCCAACCTAATTACTTTAGCCTTGACCACCAGAAATAATTTCGAGCACCTAGCAAGTAGCGAGACCAGAGGGTTTTCACGTGTCGGGCCCTGAGAGGCGATACTGGTTCGACACTGTTTCAGTACTTTTCTGGGTGCTCGAAATTCTTTCTTTGGATGTGGTCCTCAAGTACGATGGGAGCAACATGAGCCAGCGCGAGGTTCGAGGCTCGAGGCTTGCGGGCATTCTCGTCGGTCTTCGGCGGCTTTCCAGCGTCGGGATGCCCTCCAACGGCTGCACCTCGCCGAGGGCCTTCGCGGGGTCCCCGGATCGTCCCGGACGGCCGCCGGAGGTCACAGCTGTGCTCCGACGACAGGGGGTGCTGAGACGCAGGAGGGGCTTCCGAGAAGGCAGGTGGCCTCTGAGAAGCCCTCCCAGCCTTCGCGGAAGCCTTCGCGGAAGCCTCGGGGCCCTGCTGAGATGGGCCCCGCTGTCGCAGAACCCCCCCAGCCTTCTTTTAGGCCGCCGTCTCCCACGCGCCCCCCCCCCTTGTGCGCGCAACCGAGCATCGCAAGAAACTGGCGGAGATCTTCTACAAGGAGACCTGGTGGCTCTGTGCCAACCCCTGCCACTGCGGCGGCTATGGCTTCGTCTCTGCTTCGGCAGCCCCGATGTGCATGTCGCACGAGAAGCACTGCTGCGTCGAGACCCTCTGCCAGAGCGAGCCCTGGGACGAGGGCGGCATGGGCGTGTGCTTCGCCATCTCTAAGATCTGCTGTTTCGTGAACCATTCTGGTTGGGGCGGCCCTAACGATGGAGTGCCCCTCTTCGCTTGTTGCGGCGAGCAGTGCGACCGAGACTCAGGCTTGAGCCGTCAGGGAAGAGCGCAACCCCATACCCAAACCATACCCGTTTCGAAGCTGAGGCCCTATGTAATCATGGGGCCCAACTTGGGGGTTTGTTGTTCTTCCTGCGTGTGAATGTCCTCGCCATACGAGTCCACGTAGTTCTTTGGCAGCTGACTTAACAGGACGAGTCCATAAGCATATATGCATGAATGTATGCATGTATGTATGTATATGTATATGGCTATGTGTATATATATATATATATAGATGTGTATAGCGAGAAACTCATGTGGCCCCCCTGCATCTTAAAGGGACAACTCATTGGTAAAGAGCCTCAATCCGTCATACGGAATCCATGCAATGGCGTCTTTACTAATGAGTTCTTAAGGTGGAATCTTCACCAAGGAATGCTTAGTAAGGAATATGTACTAAGGCATTCGCACTCAGGAATATGTACAAAAGGAATCCTTCACAAGGGATCTATACTACTGACTCCTTCGAAAGGAATCTCCACGAAGAAATGCTTAACAGAGAACCTTTGCAAACGAATCCTTAATGGGGAATTTGTACGGAGGAATCCTTCGTGAGGAACCTGTACTAAGGAATTCTCAATCTGGAGTCTCTGCGAAGGAGTTCTCAATAAGGCATACGGACCAAAGAACCCTTCGTAAGGAATCTGTACAACGGAATCCATCGTAAGGAATTTTATGTAATGAGGAATCGTAACAACAGGAATTTTATGTATTAAGAAATCGTAGTGAGGAAGTTTTCCCAAGGAATCGCTGTCAAACAACATTTTTTTTAGTAACGAGTCCTTGGTGAGGAACCTTACCTGGGAATCCGTAATACATAATATTTCCGAACATATCGCTAATAAAGGATCGGTGCGACGGAATCCATATAAGTTGCGGTAGCGAATCCTTAATGAGGAACCTCGTGCTAAGGAAGAATTATTGCCGAATCTTTCTAAACAAAGGAACCTTTCTATATTTACCGACGAATATTTACTTACCCTTCGCAAGCAACTTTTAGTCAGGACATTCTAACATGGGACCTTTACTAAGGGAGACTTATTAAGGAATATGTACATAAGATGGAATCTGTATTCAGGAATCTTTAAGACGGAAGCTTTACGAAGGAACCTTTGATCAACGGTATTTGTAGTAAGGAACCTTCCGTAAGGAATTCCTGCGCATGAATTCTCAGAACGAGTATATATTGAATAAGCTTGCATACGGAATCTTTCAAAGAGATGCCTTAGTGAGGGACCTTTGCCAATACATCCTTATTACGGAATATTTACGGAGGATTTGTATGCACGGAATGTCTTGCAATACATCCTGAATATGAAATTTGTAGCAAAGAGTCCATCCTAAGGAATCTCTACTGGTGATTCCGTAATGCGGAGTTTTTTACTGGGATTTGTTGGTCGGTAAATCTTTAATCCATAGCTCTGAATCAGGAATCTGCATTCAGGAACCCTCAGAGAGGAATGCGTACTCAGGAGTCGTCCGTCAGGGACTTTACTTAAGGATCCCTAGTATGGAATCTTGCCTGAAGAGCCCGTCGCACAAGAACCCTTACTAAGGGATCCCTCGTAGTGAACCTTTACTCGGGAATCCTTGGTAAGGGATATGTAATAAGGAATCTTCCATGACGAATATGTATTCTTGGATCTTTCGTGAGGAATTTTGATTAAGGAATCCTTGCGAGGGAATCTGCCCCGAGGAATCCCTATTAAGGAATTTTCCAAACAAGAAAACTGGACCAGTGTATTCAGGGGCTTGTTTTTGGCTTGGATCTTTCCCCCAGGGCCAAGTTCTCCCCTCCTCCGCCACAAACGGAATCAGTTTGCACCTCCCCGCGCAAAGGGAATACATGTGTAACTCCTGCACATAGGGACTCCTTACTTGTAACCATCAACGACAAGAGCTTATTTGTGATCCCCACAAAAGGAATCTATGTGTAACCAACCAGGAATGGGTGTATTCACTCATAACCAACCACATAGGGATTCCACCAGGGCCTCTTTGCGCCTGCAGCCCGGAAGTACACACGCGCCAGAAAGAGGTGGAAGACGCCATGCCTTGTGTCCTTAAAAGCACAGGTGTATTCAAACGGACCGGATATACATATACATATATATATATATATATATATATATATATATATTATATTATATGAATTGTATGTGTATGTATATATATATATGTACACATAGAAGTTTGATCATATATATATATTATATGTATGTTTGTGCGCACCTACATTGTATAAATCTGTCTTAGTCATACATGTGTTTGAGATATTGAGGGGGCCGAACGGTCATTCACTGTCCCTCGGTGCGTGGCTGAAGTGGGCTTCCGCGGTGCGCATCGCTGCTGTTATTGTTGTTGTTGTTGTTGTTGCTGTTGCTGTTGCTGTTGCTGTTGTTGTTGTTGTTGTTGTTGTTGTTGTTGTTGTTGTTGTTGTTGAACATCATTACTTCTAAAGAATAATTATTGTTGGGGCCCCTGGTGCATGGCCCCCCCGCCGCGCCTAGGCCGCAGCCACATTTTCATCATTTTCGTGAGGAAGTCTCAGGTAAAACGATGTCATCCAGATCCGGTTGTGTTGTTACGATCGGTTTTCCCTTGCAAAAAATAAGCTAAAGTGGACATTTCTTGTTCTAACATAACCAAACTTCAAGAATCCCTTGCAAAAAATAAGGTAAAGTGGACATTCGCGCGCGCAAGACGAAATCCTTCCAAAACCTTAGTGTTCGTAGCGATTTTAACATAAAAACATCAAAAAACCAATGGTTTTTCAAAAAAAATGTCAAAATCTCATCCCGCGCGCTCTTGCGGATTCGTAGGAAACCCAACACTTTTTAAACATTTCTGTCAAACGGGCTTTTGCGAGCAACTTTTTCGAACTTCTGCAACAACGGTTGCGCACCTGCCAGGGCCATCATCCCTGTCAAATAATACCATGCGGGACACATTCGTTTTTTCTTCGCGCGCGCACGCCGTCGTCGTCGGCCGCGGGGCCCTGAATAGTAGCCACGGTCGTCCGCATGCCACGAAGTGAAGTGTCCGAACGTCATAGGGCGGGAAGCTGGGTGTGGGTGGTGGCGAAGAGTCGTTTGGAAATTTGGTAGAGCTTGAACCGGCCCCCCCACAAAGTGGGGGTATTGCCCGCCTCCTATGAAAACCCTGGCACTGGTGAGAACGGAGTGTCCCCACGTGCTAGTAATTGTTGTTGTTGTTGTTGTTGTTGCTGTTGTTGTTGTTGTTGTTGTTGTTGTTGTTGTTGATCTTCCACTTCGGAAAATTATCCTTGTTGATCCCCTCTGCCTGGTGCGCATTGTATCTTTCAATTGAAATGCCCCTCCCGTGGCTCGCATATCAAGGAAAGTCTTGCGCCTCAAACTGCGCCCCTGGCCCCCCGAGTTGCAGCAGCAACGGCTCCCGTCCGATACTTCCTCACAACTTATTCCCAAGTCGCGTTCTCGCGCGGGACTTCTTCACAATTTTTCAGGAGTCGCGCTCTCGCGTGGAACTTCCTCGCAATTTATTCCGACGCCGCGCCTTCGATGCTCAGGAATCACGCTCCCGCGGGGGATGTCCACACGATTCGTTGCGCCATCGCTCGAGGCTTCCTCGCGATTCATGCAGGACGCACGCATCAGCAACCCGCCTGCTCGACCTGGTCGCATGGGCTCGCTTCCCCGACCCGCCCGTTAGGGTCTACCTGTCCGAATTCCCCATCAGTTACTAATTGTTTGCCACTTGTTTCGGCGAAAATCGGAGCCGCTTGTCAGGTTATTGAGGCCCCACGAGGCTCGAAACGAATTTGTATCGTGTGAGTCGTGCTGATCCCCCGCCACTTTGCGAGCGCCCTTGCGCGGCAGCAGACGCGCCCGCGCTGCGACGGCGCGCGGCGATCGCCGTTCCTGACCGGCCTGGCCCGCCGAGCTGCGCCAATAGAGCGGTCGCAACCGCGCGCGGGATTATCCGAACAGTGGCGGAAAAACGGCGCGCCGATGTGGACGTGCCGATGTTGAGGCACATGGGGCACCAGATGGTGCGCCGCCGCACATGGCGCGCAAACTGTGCGTGCGCGGCATTTCGCGGGGTGGGCCATAGCTCTTTCTTGGTGGATGCGTTGTCTCGCTGCGTCGTAGGCATGAGCCACTTGCGACATCTGGCGCGTTGCTCTTGGGGGCCCACTTTGGCCCGTGGATTTGGTACTTGCGAGAACTCGCAGAAAGGTATTTTAAACCTTCCTTGAAGCTACTTGTACTGTTTCCTGGAATCGGCGCGTGCGCATTGATAGCGGAATCATAACCCTAGCCCCGCCTCTGCTACTCACTCTCGTGTTCCCTCCTTCTCCTAGTCCCTTCCGTCCATCTTTTCTCTCTTCCCCTGCCTCAGGGACTGCGCGAAATTTGCGTTACAGGTAAGGATGGCATACCCCCAATGGCGTACGATCGAAGACGAAAAGGGCGGGTATCGAGGTTTCGGATATACGTCTTGAATGACACGCGAGAGCGATCAGTCTGAAAACGATTGTTGTTGTTGGTGCTTTTTGTTGTTGGTGTTTCATTCGTGAACCCGCTTGCGACCCGCCCGCGACCCATTCGTCACCCACCCGCGACCCACCCGCGACCCTTCTGCGACCCACCCGCGACCCACCCGCGACCCACCCACAACGCACCCGCGACCCACCCCACGACCCGATCCGCGGCTCGCCCGCCCGCGACCCACCCCGCGCCCGCCCCCTCACCCTTTATCCGCAACAGCGGGGTGCTATATATATATATAATATATATTATATATATATATATATATATATATATATATATATATATATATATATATATATTATATATATATATATATATATATATATATATTTATATATATATATATATACACAAGACTGCAGTGGCTCCTCGCGCCATGCACCTTGGTCCTTGAAGTTTGGTATGCAGGCGGACTAGCGGGAAGGTCAAGCCGACAATTTAACGATATTTTTTTGTTCGACATCGCCGCTATAATAATGTTATTCGTTATCCCTCCTCCATGCTTTTTATTCCAAATTTTCGCCATGCTCTGCGCATTCTCCCCATCCTCCTCAGCTCTTTTTGCGGAGGCTCCTCCTTGGAGAGCCTTTGGGGGCCTCATGGGCGTGTTCTGGAGGCTTTCTTAAGGCCTTCTGGAGGCCTCCTGGGCGTGTTCTGGGGGTTTCTGGGGGTTTGTCGGGCCACCCTGCCTCCAACCACGGTCTCCCTGAATGACCGGGTCACGATTTGGAATGCTTCGGAGGGTGTCATAGGGCCATCTTGGGCCGCCATGGGGCTCCCTGAGGGCCATCTTGGATCCCTGTTGTGCAGTTTTGGGGCTCTCTTGGACTGCCTGGAAGCCCTTTCGGATGGTTGTGGGGCGATTTTGGAGCCTCCCAGGCGGCTTCCGCCGTCTTGGAGCGTCGGGAAGCCGAAAAGAGGAGAACCCCCAAATAAGCCATAAACCAACAAAATCAAGGATTTTCGCATCTGGGGGCCTTCTTGGGAGTGCTCTTGGAGGCTTCTTGGGACGTTTCGGGACGATCTTTGGGGGTCGTCGTCGACCGTATTGGGGCTCTCTGGGGTCGTTTCGGGAGCGCGCCACGTTCTGCGAGGCCCTGGGGGCCGCTTCGAGGCCCGTCCGGAGGGTCTCTAAGCCCCAGATCCCAGGAGTCCGTTTTTTTTTTGGGGGGGGGGGGGGGGCGGGCCCCCCGGGCTTGTACAAATATAGAAAGAGGAATCTGTTTGTAAATGTTTTGTATGTGTATATATATATATAAACATTGATTGTGTGGTAAGTGGTAGCTTGTGCTCTTTGAGGTGAGGACGTCATGCTTAAGGAAGACGCTCAGTTGATGAAGAGCACATTCTTTCTTTATTCCATGGGCATGCGCCAGCCCGCCGGGACCCAGAAGATCGGATTGGTCGAGTGCGCCGGTGACGGCCTAGCTTGAGGAGGAGAAGAGGGATGATCCAGAACTCCGATCTCGCGTTTTTGTTCGCAGCATGGACCCCCAGAGGTCTGGACCCCCTCCCGGTTTTTTGTTTCTTCGTTTGGAGTTCGGGGGCGGCCAAGAGGGGGGTGATCATTACGGGGGTGGGTATCATGGCGAGGGTCATGATATTTCCTCAGATTTCATGGCGCTTCTTCTTGTTTCAATACGTCCCCGCCTCCCCCCCTGGACCGCGCACGTGCCTCCGACCATGATTTGCGCCCTCCCCTCTTGGACGCCCCCCTCTTGGCCACCTCCGGAGAATCGTTTTTGTTGGAGGGTCCCAGCGCGGGTTGGGTGCCCCTCGGGACCGAGCATTGTTCAAACCCTTCTGTCGTGTGCCGCGTGTGTTTTCGCACGGCGAGGGGAGGTGCGGGCAGGAGCGAGAGGTTGCGGACACGGCGCGGAGGAGGACGAGTGGCAGAGGAGGAGGAGGAGGAGGAGGAGGAGGGGGAGGAGGAGGAGGAGGAGCAGGAGAAGGATGAAGAGCGAGGAGGAAGAGCGAGGAGGAGGAGGAGAAGGAGGAGCGAGGAGGAGGAGGAGGAGCGAGGAGGAGGAGGAGCGAGGAGGAGGAGGAGGAGGAAGGAGGAGCGGAGGAGGAGGAGGAGGAGAGGAGGAGGAGGAGGAGGAGGAGGAGGAGGAGGAGGCGGAGGAGGAGGAGGAGGAGGAGGAGGAGGAGGAGCGAGGAGGAAGAGCGAGGAGGAGGAGGAGGAGAGGAGGAGGAGGAGGAGGAGGAGGAGGAGGGAGGAGCGAGGAGGAGGAGGAGCGAGGAGGAGGAGGAGGAGCGAGGAGGAGGAGGAGGAGGAGAGGAGGAGGAGGAGGAGGAGGAGGAGGAGGAGGAGGACGAGGAGCAGGAGGAGGAGGAGGAGCGAGGAGCGAGGGGGTCGATCTTCAGGGCACCGGCCACGGCAGGCGAGCGCACGAAACTCTCGACTCTGAGCCTCCCAGACGGGGTCGGAGCAGGTGGGGTCGGAGGATCGTGCCGCATAGCCGATGCATCGGCGATGCGGCTCGGTATGGAGCTCAATTCTCTCCACGCCGACGCCGCCGATGCATCGCCGCCTTGGCGGGTGTATCGCCGATGCATCGGCGATGCAGCGGCGATGCGGCGCGGTCCTCCGACCCCATCCATCTGGACCGCATCCAGGAGGCATCTACAGTGGAGACCCATGCCAAAAAACACCCTGCTTTCCTCCAGGGTGCCCTGGGGGGTTTCTCGGGTTTCGACGGTTTTGCTGTGGAAAGCGTGACGTTCCCATGCCGAAGATCACTGGACGTCCTGCGGTCCCAGGGTTGGGTTTCTTGTGGAAGCTTTCTTGTGGTCGGGCCCCGACTGTATCAATGACGAAGCCTCCTGGTCGATGCGAGCCCAGAGTTCATCGCGCGAGCAAATGGCGCCACGCAGAGTTTCCGTCGACCGCCGGCCTCCAGCGACAGAGCACCGACCTCTGCGCTCTCGCGGCTGCAGACTGGCGCTTCTCGCCAGCGCGCGCACGACTGCTTGTATGGCAGGTGACAGCTCTGTAGCTCCCCTGTCATCCGACGGCGTGACCAAGTCGAAGCATCGTAAGACATCACGGCTGGAGCCTCGGACCTCATCTTTTTGCGCCGTGTTTCGAGCCGGATCGATCTGCGAGGGTCCTAGGGCCCGAAACCAGGCGGAGACGCCCCACTCTAAAAAATGCAGCCGCCAGGATCCCTGGGTCCTATTTAGAAGTTTCGAGATCGAGCCGAACAAAGAAAGGACTGCAGCGCGACAGTGTGCAGTGTGGAGCCAGCTTTTCGGTACTGGGGTTAAGACGGGCATGTTCCTCTACAGGAGGAATGCTCAAGAATAGCCAACAAACATTCAGGGAACGATCTTTCGATTATTTTTGTTCCCAACCATCCTGTGGTGTTGGGTCCTCTTTTTGAAGAGACAGCGCCTCGCGTCTCCCCCTCCTCACTCCTCCTCCCCCTCGTCCCTCCTCCCATCCCTGCCTTTGCTTTCCGCATGTCCTCCATTTTGGCACACCCCTTACGCGTTTCGTGAGCCTCAAAAGCCCCAGTGCCACCGCAGTCCGCATGCGGCTCCCCCACCCAATACAGTGTGTCGTGGCTCCAAGGGAGCTCCACCCCAGGGTCCCAGTGGCCGTGGCCGCATGCACATCCCCCTCCTAGTACAGAGCTCCGTGGCCCCATATGGGGTTCCACCGAATTCCCTAGTGTCTGCGGGGCAGGGTTGAGGGCGTAGGGTTTAGGGTTTAAGGTCTGTGGTTTAGGGGTCATGGCGTAGGGATTAGGGTTTAGGGTCGCGGAGACGCCTCCGCGCTCGTGCAGGCTCGCGCGGAGTGCTTGTCAGGCCGCTGCGGACGCGCCCCCGCTCGTGCAGACTCGCACGGAATGCTTGCCGGGCCGCTCGGGGGCGCTCCCGCTCGTGCGGGCTCGCACGGAGCGCCTGTCGGGCCGCTGCGGAAACGCTCCCGCTCGTGCAGACAAGCCGCTCCAGAGACGCTCCCGCTCGTGCCGGGTCGCACGGGGCGCCTCTCGGGCCGCTGCGGAAGCGCCTTTGTTCGTGCAGGCTCGCACGGAGCGCTTGTCAGGCCGCTTCGGAAGCGCTCCCGCTCGTGCCAGCTCGCACGGAGCGACTGTCGGGTCGTTGCGGACGTCACCGCTCCCGCTCGTGCCAGCTCGCACGGAGCGCCTGTCGGGCCGCTCCGGAGGCGCCCCCGCTCGCGCAGGCTCGCGCGGAATGCTCGTCGGGCCGCTCCGGAGGCGCCCCCGCTCGCGCAGGCTTGCACGGAATGCTTGTCGGGCTGTTCTGGAGGCGTCCCTGCTCGCGCCGGCGCGCGCAGAGTGCTTGTCGGGCCGCTGCCGAAGCGCCCCCGCTCGCGCAGGCTCGCGCGGAGATCTTGTGGGGCCGCTCCAGAAGTGCACGGGCTCGTGGCCAGAGGGCTCAGGGGCGCCTGAGAGCGTTTCGGAGTGCCCGAAAGCGCTTGGGGGCGCACGGGAAGCGCCGGGGAGCGCCTGGCGCAGAAAGTGTGCATTTCCAAAGAAGAGAGTTGTAAAGGAATTGCCTTTTGCAGGCGTTGTGCCTGGGAGCGCTTGGGGGCGCTTCGGAGCGCTTGGGGGGCGCTTGGAGGCGCCTGGGAGCGCACGGGGGCGCCTGGTAGCGCCTGGGAGCGCACGAGAGCGCGCATGGGCGCTTCGGTGCGCTTCGGGGCGCCCTGGGGGGCGTCGGGGGGCTTGGGGGCGTCGCGATGGCGTCATGCCAGCTCGCACGGCGCAGCTGTCGGGCCGCTCCGGAAGCGCTTCCGTTCGCGCAGGCTCGCGCGCAGTGTTTGGCGGGCCGCCTGGGAGCGCATGGAAGCGCTTCTGGAGCGCTTGGGTGCGCTTGGCAGCGCCCGAGAGCGCCGGCGAGCACTTGGGAAGCGCCGGGGAACGCCTGGCGCGGAAAGCGTGCATGTCCACTGAAAGGACATGCTAAGGAATTGTTTTTTCTTCAAGCGCAGCGCCTGGGAACGCCCGGGAGCGCTTCGCGGCGCTTGGGAGCGCCTGGGAGCGCCTGGGGGCCCTTGGGGGCGCTTAGGCTTGCCTGGCAGCGCCTGGGAGCGCCCAGGAACGCCCGGGAACGCTTGGGAAGGCGTCGGAGAGCTTGGAGGCGTCTCGATGGCGCAATGCTTGCTGTCGCTCGGGCTTGCCCAATACTTGCGGGGTGCTTTTCGTGTTGAGGGTTTAGGGTTTAGGGCCCGTGGGCTTTGGTTTAGGGTCTGAGGATCAGGGCTTAAGGCCTGTAGGGTCTGCTGGCACGGCCGCAGCGGGAAGTCGCGCTTCGTTGCCGTTGATCTACCGGCGCCCGGCGCTGTCGAGTTCCCGCACGACAACCGGGGCCCTCGCAGCGTCGCCGCCCTGTTGCCAAGGCTGCTGCGTGTGGCCATTTTCGACGTCTCCCTGTTCGGCATCTTCCGCGCAGGCGCGGCCGCTGAACAATTCGTTGACGGCAAACTGATCAACGATAAGTATCACGTGTGTATTAAGCGATTTAGGGCGCCGTCCAAACGGTAGGACCAACCCGCAAGGTTTCGTCGTCAGGAAACCATTGGAATCACATTATTATTGAAAAAAGTTGAAGCGCCGTCTGGATCGCGCCCTGCAAGGGTTTGAGGCCCCACACGTCATCGTGCTCAGCAACTTTGGCCCGCCCACTAATCACGACGCCTTCACCAGGGACCGGGTCTGGGCGATCCACCTGGGCGTCTTGCCCTTGAACTACTCGTTCGACTTCCTATTCCCGCAATGGAAATTCCCCAACGCCGCCGCGGTGTCCGCCTGCGGCGATCCCATCGCGGGCCTCGATGGCGTGCCGCACAACAGTGCCGCGACCGCGTCCACGCCCGCGGCCGCGCCAGTTGCGCGCGCTCCGCCGCCGCTGACGGCGGGTGCCAGCCCGCCAGGTCCAGCAGCGCCACGACCGGCGGCCGGGTCGGCCGCCGTTCCGAGCGCCCATGGCGCCGCGCCGCCCGTCTGGACGAGGGCCACGTTGGACGCCCAGCAGGCGCCGCCGCCCGCGGCGCAGCAAATCACCCTGCTGGTGGGCCCGCCGCCGCCGCGCCGCGCCCGCCGCGCCGCCCCCGCGGGCCGCCCGCGCCTCGCCGTGCCCGTTTTTCCCGGGCAGCAGACGCTCACCGCCTTTGTGCAGCAGGCGGGCTCTGCGCGGCGCAGGGGCCGCACCCCGCCGCCGGTGGCGCCCTGGGCCTCAGGCTTGGACTTGCCAGACGAGCAGGCGCAGCTCGCATGGGCTATGGCCGAGGCCCGCAGGTGCGTTTTTTTTGTGTTTCCTTTTTTTGTTTTCTCTCTCTCTCTCTCTCTATCTCTCTCTCTCTCTCTCTTTTTCTTTCTCTCTCTCTCTCTCTT